CCCCCCAATTATTTGGTGGCTTGAAACAGTGTTGGTGTGGCCTGAAGTGGTGTACTTTCAATGTGTAGTTAACGCGTCAGTCTCGCCTTCCGTAGGCTGCCCTCTCCTCCATTCAGACAGTAAAATCGGTTAGCTAATTAACTAATCCGCGGATTTCTTTCGCTCCGTCATACTTTATCTTAACTGAGTAGGTTTCTGCAAGTCATTCCTTACCTTTTTGTTAACCGCCATTATCGTGACGCTCCGATTTTCCTCCTTGAGCCCACGCCATCACACATAGATGGCATTTGATTGAGGGGAAAGGAAGCAGCCTGGAAAGAGGAAAACAAATTGGAACCAGTTGGCGCCATGCTGGAGAAGCAGAAGGATCTGGGCAATGGTGGCCAATTTTCTTCCAGGATCTGGTAGTGAATGTGCTAGCACTAATACCAATCGTTTGGCTTCCATTTGACGTCACTTTGACTTGTGAAATCACATGTCACTTCGTTGATTCCACGCAAGAGTGTGGTAATGGACGCGAGAGCGCCTTACCAGAACTGTCAACGCACTTTTGCCTGTTTGCTTTCAAGTGGTAGCGTTATCTAGGTCAAGGACCTTGTCTCTGTCGTATTTATCAGCAGGTTTACTACGCCAAACTGCAATTTCCAAAAGCGCACTCAAAAAAGGACGTTGCATAGGGAAACTTTGGTAGCTTAGGGAGACTTGAAAGGGCGTGAAGGGACATTTCAAGATTAAGATACAGGTTGTCAAAGAAGCCACGTGATACTATTGGATTCGATTGATCCTTCGCATATGCTCCTATCTGATGTTTTGGATGATGGGTATGTCATCCTTTTTGCGTCGCATTTGGGATTCTATGATAGATTTAATTGAATTTTACTTGTGTACCCTTTTTCAATAGGAATGGCGACTAGTTTGTTTCTCTCATTACTTCCTTGCATTAATTTTGGAGTACTAGTAAGCGTAGTCCACGCGCGACCATCTTGATCTAACCCCAGACAGGGTGTTTCTCGAACCCCTTTTGTAACTTCCACATCGTTCCAAGGCTTGACATCTGGGTTCCTCACAAACAAAACTTTTTCATCAGCTTACCTATTCATCTCGACCAGTGCTATAGAGGAATTTCAGCTCTCCTAGCTCACAAAAGATACGCTAAATGTGAAAGTCCGAAAAGTGTTATTGTCCCACTCAGACCGTGAACATTCTACATCTGTTCGATTGCTTGAAGTTAAGTCAATTTATTTACGGCACCCGATCTGATGTGGACGCTTGTCGTAAACTGGCAAAGAAAACGAGTCAAAATAGATAACACTACAAAATACAGGTGATTGGACCTCCATGCTTTTGACTTCTCAATTCTTACTTTGTCTATCGGATCCCAAGAGGTTCTTATAGCTCCTCCGGATGTATCGCTTCAATCCAGACTTTTCAGACGATTAACAGAGGTGAGAGGAAGGTTTAAAAGTCTTTGGACTTCAGCATTTCTCATTGGAAACGGTGAAGAGTGTAGAGTAAGTAGTGATTAATTGAGTCTTAACGCGTTCCAGGACCACTTCTGCTTGGCACGCCGGCTGTCACTCTAAGTCGTTGAAAAAGATCGTCATTCCGTTGTGATGAGTTAAAGGGGAAAATCGTTTCCTCTCATAAGATGAACATTATGGGCGAGAGAGGTGTAACGGTAGCGTAAATTCATCTCCATCGTCGTTTGCGTGCTCGTTTTCTTGTAACGTCGTCACTGAGTACATTGAAAGTTTCGGAACTGATTGTTCTGCCATGACAATGTAGAGCACCCTATAAGTCAAATTGCCAAAAGGTAAAGCAACGGGGAATGATGATTAAATCCTAGAAGTGAATTGTTTTGAGAGCTGAATGCAGGCGTTAGATTTATGATGGAGGTAAGCAAATAGGTTTCTGGGGCCTTTGCAGTAACGGTTAAATAATTGCAAAAAGCGTCTTGGAATATTTTGCTCAATTGAAGAACCGCCATTCCCAATCTGTAATCCAGCTGTCACAGCTGGACACAAGGTATCTGTGAATTCTACTTCTATAGGAGTTATTGTCTCTGGAAGGCACGACAGGGCCTAGGCCCAGCCATTTCCATTCCGCTTTCACTGTTTTCGTCCATCCGCTTAATCACTTTTCCACAAGACCACGTTATTGTCTAATGCTAACACAATGTGGAGGACGGGTATGGGCGTGATGAGGTTGAGGGGGATGAGGCACGAGGACGATGGTATCTCCTCCTCGTGCCACTTGGTCACATCCCAAAGTGCAAGTCTTCTTACTGTTAAGTTCTGGGACGGTATGAGAGCAAGGCACACGAGGTGTTGTGCTGTGTGATATTGTGCTCGGATGTGCTGACTCGAAGGAAAGTGG